GGTATCTGTAGGCATCTAAAAATACCTATAGGTATCCACACACAGCTCGAAACAAAGAGAAGATGATGAACGTCATTATCCAAATTAAAGAAGATTATCCGAGTCAAAGAGGATCATCTGACGTCGACAAGCGCATGAAGCGAATCGGCGAACTATTAATGACATAGCGACAAACCACAGGAACGAACAATGCCAAGTGGCCCGCGTGCTCATCGGCCACCAGAATGGCAAGACAAGTGGTCCGTGCGCTCACCGGCCACCTCCAAGTGGTCCGTACACTCGTCAGCCAGCTCCAAGTGACCCGCGTGCTCACCGGTCACCGCCAAGTGGTCCGCACGATCATCGCCCACCAAAATGGCAAACCAAGTGACCCATGCGCTCACCGATCACCTCCAAGTGGCCCGCGCACTCATCAGCCAGCTCCAAGTGGCACGTACGCTCATTGGCCATCGAAACGGCGAACCAAGTGGCCTACACGCCCATCGGTCATCGTCAAGCGACTTGCACATTCACAAAATGCATGAAGTGAATCGGTGAAGTATACAAGTCAACAAAACGACGGAATGCACGCAGAAGGACAAAACAAGTCCAGACCGAACATACCGAGAAAGCCCCTGGTGGCCGAGTCACGTCAAAACAACTCAGCCAGGCTAGTGGCTCGGCCATGGGCCGAGCCCCCAAATGGTGGTTCGCGCCTGAACCGAATTGGTTCGGTTCGTTTTGCACCCGGTTCAGCCAGATTCGATCCGAAAACATGTTTTGATGGTTTTTGACGAGTTTTCACAGGATTGCTTTTGTTCCAGAGGTTCCTAACTGCCTATATATTATCTCTAAACATGGTTACATAGTTGTCAACTGAGGATAAGGCCAAATCCATCATTCTTATTCGAAAACCCCCAACCGAAGCCTATAAATACAGGCCTAGGGGCTCATTTCATAGGCAGACATCAAGAGGGTGAGGTGCTGCCAAATTAGAGAGTGAGGCATGAATTTCAGAGGGTTAGCAGATTTTGGTGAAGTTCCTCAAAAAAAAAGAGAGAGTTCGAGAGATGTAAGACCTATTTCCCCTCATTCCTTCGGATTTAAGCTTGGTCTTAATCCCGAGAAGAGTCATAATCTCGCTTGGTCGGGATTACCACTTCTGTGAATACTTTCTTCGTGAAGTAGGAGCTTTGATTATCAATATGTCAACTAGATCTGATCCGCGACGGTCCACAGATATCAACGTCCCCGGCACAGACAAAGTTCCCATGCAAACAATAGGCGATAAACATCTATTGTGTGTTGTTTGAAGAAATTGTAATCTTTCATTATATATATATATATATATATATATATATAAATCATCTATCCTGAACTAAGTGAAAATTGATATTTAGAAATCCACAACACGAGAATGAGTACGTTGAGCGAAATAATCTAAACAAGGAAACCCTCATGTATATACCTCGTATCTCAAATTATGAATCACTAAATTCCAATCCTGAATCCTATGAATAAAACAACGAATAAAAGAAATACAAATCCAAACCTCAACCAATACAAGTCGTGTCAAATATCTCACACTACCCTCGAATAGGTGGCACAGTCACAGAAATAAACATCCGATACAAACTTCTCGCATAGAAATGCCATGAATAACATCATCAGTCTCATACCCTACTCTCGGGTAACTAACATGGGAGCATGAATGCAATATGTGCAATCTTCTAACAGAAACAATAATGCTTTTGTAAGGTGCTCATAATATCTTGTGGTATCACCACCTTAGTCAATCGTCCTGCGGAATGTAGGCATATCAGCCCAATCCGGAATAATGCATCATAGAGTGTAGTCTATCATAGTCACATTGTGGTATACCAACTAACCCACTCTGAGCGTAGTCTACCATGGTCTCATTGCGATATACCAACTAACCCCACTCGAGCATCCACAATTATCGTAAAATGAAACAAACTCAAACTGATAGATTACGCACCTCAAATAGCTCGGGCGTGTTCATAACCAATGCATGTACACCCTCATGATTACGCATGTGTGGTGACACGTGTCTCGTACTTCGTGATTGAAATCAAACTCGCATGACAAATCAACAAGTGCAAAATAAGACTACATCAGTCGATTGAAATATCTCTTCGATTGACCGACGACATCGTGCACAACATGCACCCAAGAACAGCGTTGATCGGTCGATCGATGCTTGTAATCGGTCGACCGGCCAGAGGAAGACTTCAGCTTCTTGATGACTAATCGGTCGAGTTTAGCTACAGGTTCGTCTACAAGTGATCAAAAATGAATTTTTTTTTAGATTACACTTGTATAAAATCTTATTTAATGAGATTAGGATTCACTTTGCTACATGAAAACATAATTATTATATTTGAGGGGATTCTTACAATCCTAGCATGTTCATATTGGTGAAAATCATCTCAAAAACCATAAAACTCAACAAAACTCGTATTTAAATCACGTTTTAAACTCAAAATCCACGTCTGGAAATCCGTTATATATCTTGTTAAATCAAAATGGTTAGATCTTTTCATTATACGGTTCACAAGAAGTGATCTTTATATTTAAAATAGATTTTAAAATCAATCAAAAACTAAAATAAAACCAAAAGAAAAAGGGGATGAGTTTGAAGGAGATGAAACTCGCCTCAACACGTGTAGGAATTCCCAAATATGCAAGAAAACAGGTTCTCCTTCGCCAAACGTCGACGATCTCACTCTCTTCTCGGTTTTTGCTTGACAAAGCTCTTGAAAATCATAAAAAATAAGATCTAGGATTTTGAGGGGAGAGGGTGACTGCTAGGGTTCAGAGATATGGTGAAAAAGGAAAATTTTCGTGAAATATACCAATATATATAGGCAAACCCGAAACAAAATAAAAAGACCCAAAACCGAATCAAACTAGGAAACTACCCGTCGGTCGACTGATGGCTTGCCATCAGTCGACTGATAAGCTCCTATCGGTCGACGTATGTGCATGATTATACTTTCACATATACATATAGATGTCAAACAATCTCAATCAATCACCAACATACTTATTCATCCATAAATGATATTTATCATAATAAGAAGTTATTTAATATTATTTTTCATAATATTTTAAAAATTTACGGGGTTTTACAATGGGAAGATGACGAAGCACAAGGGGGAGAGGGGCGGCGGGGTGGGGAGAGGAATTTAGGGTTTTTTTTTTGGGGGGGGGGGGTAATTGGGGAAGAATGTGGAGGGGAGAGCGGGTGGCGGGGCGAGTAAAGGTGTTTTTTTTAATTTTTATGGCAACCTAGATGAAAATTCCATCTAGGTTACATCCTAGAAGGAATTTCCGTCTAGGTTGCATCCTAGACGAAAATTCCGTTTAGGATGACTAGAAAATTTTATTGAAAAAATTATTCTTCCGTCTAGTTTGGCAATCTAGACGGAATTTTCCATACAGATTGCTTCAAACTAGACGGAACAAGCTAGATAGAGTTTTTTCTGTCTAGTTTGCTCATTTCGGAAACTAGACGAAAAATAGTTTGCTCCGTCTAATTTGCTCATTTTTCTACTAGTGAATTTGTATCCATTTACTAATTACGGATATCTAAATGATGTGTGTGTATATATATTCGTATTCATTATAACCGGAAACAGATATCTAGATCAAATATGAGAAAAACAGATGCAAGAAAGATATCCCTTTTCAAAGTCTAGTATCCCTTCCTTCCCTTGGATTGTCATAATTGGTCTTATCAACCAGGTATTATCCTAGCTTGTTCTTATTAATGTTCTAAGCGTGTTGGCGTTGCAATTAAATATGTAGTCTGGTGGCTGTCTTTGGGTGATTCCATTTTGGAATCCTTGTACTTTTTTTAATCTTTTGCTTCATACAAATCGCTGAGCGCCAAAAAAAGGTGATGATATATACAGACATGATACGGATATAGACACAACTATCAATTTTCCCCCACCTTTTGATAAAAGATTTTGCAGTACATTGTCATTTGTCAATACGAACGTAAGACCATCATAGGTAACTTGCCATAAACTTGGGCGAAGATGAAAGAAGGTGAAATTGGACAGCGCGCACAGGCAATACTTTTTAAGTCTTCGTTCCGCACGTGTGCGCGCATTGGTATTCCGTAACGTAGCTTGTCAAGCAAATTGCATAATTTCTTAAGTAGCGAGCTGGATGCTTTGTGACATTTCTGTTTAAACAAATTATTTTTCTTCATAGTAGATGGCTAGAGGATATTTAAATCAAAGATCAAGTTCTCGAGATGCATATATAGTTGTGTAGACTATAGTATTGGGAAATAGATGGTAGTAGTTGCGTTGTGCGATGCGTCATCTGACAAGCTTACATGTGTAATTAATGGCACGGCTCCATAGCACATGTGCAGTCCGAGTTTATCTCGTTTCATCTTAATTAACTCACGTGGTGCATGTCTCGTTAGTAAGGCTAAAGAGCACTTAAATACCTTATAATTCCACTCGCTTTGCACTATTGTATCTTTCGTTTGTTTTTTCACGGCATTTTATGGATCCTGAGCTGTTTAAAATTGGCACTTTACGACTCTCTTTTATGCGTTTTTTGTGTGAACAATTTCGCGCGAATGTTTTCATGTGACATTTTAGAAGAATCAAATTAGCATGTACGTGCATATAATTAAATGGGAACATACATACAAGACAAAACATTCCCATGCATCTACAAAGCTAAGGGTAGCAAAGTGTTCGATTTTAAACAACTTAGGGTATGCAAATATTGCACAAATCAAATAAATTATACCAGTACTAAACGAGTGAAACTATAAGGTATATATGTGCAAT